TAATGAAGTATGAAAAAACTAATAGATTTCTTTTTGAAATAATCGATTAGTTTTTTAAATAGTTAAATATATATATATATATATATATTATATTATAGAAATGAAAATAATTTATACTTTGGAGAATATATATATATATATATATATATGTATATATTAAAATATAATTTATTTTTAAGTTGATAATTTTTATTTTTATTTATGTAAATTTTATATATAAAATTAATTTAGAGTTCATATATGTAATTTTAATTTATGTAATATATATATATATATATAATTTATTTAACATTAATTTTATAGTTATAATTTTTTTTTAAAGTTATAATTATAAATATGATTTTTTAATTATATAATTATAATTTTTATAATATATAATTGATAAATAATTTTTTTTAATTTTAATTTAATATATATTTTTATTTATAATTTTTTAATATATATTTGAGAAATTAATCAATTATAATCTATTATTTGAAAAACTAATCAATTCTAACCAATTATTTAAAAAACTAATTGATTATAATTTATTATTTGAAAAAATTATCAAATATAATCGATTATTTGACAATAATCGATTATAATCAATTATTTGAAAATATAATCGATTATTTAGACATTTATATATGATAGCGGTTCCACTAGAACCGCTCTTAAAAGTGAGCATATAATAGCGGTTCCACATAAACCGCTATCTAAAATATATTTTAGATAGCGGTTAACTTCAAACCGCTATTATATATTTTCAAATATAATCGATTATTTGAAAATTTAATCGATCATAATGAAATATGTGGTGAGTTATGATAGCGGTTCCACTTGAACCGCTCTTAAAAGTCAACATATAATAGCGGTTCCACGTGAAACCGCTATTATATGTTATATTATAGAAATGAAAAAACTAGTATATATAAATATATATGTATATATAATATTATAATATTTTATTTAAAATTTAAAATTTTAAAAATATTTTTATATTTTTAAAATTAATAATATATTTTGATTTATAGTTGAACGTAGTAAAATAATATTTTTAAAATATATTATTAAATATTATATTTATATTATTTGTATGGTTAATTTTTAATTAATTTATTTATTTAATATTGTAATATATTTTTAAGAAATTAATAATAAATTAGGAGGATAATAAAACTCTTTAAAATTATATGTATATAAGATGAAATAATATTTTGATGTAAAATTATATTTTTGAAATGTATTTTTTTCTTATGTTTTTGTAATATTTTGAATGATATAATATTAAAATTGACTTTATAAAAAATTAGGAAAAAAGAAATTAATTCAAAAATATAATAATGATAAAAATATTATAAAAAAGAGTTCAAAAATATATTATAATATTTTCAGTTTTAGTTTAATTATATTTTTAATTCTCAAAGTAGAAAAATATATTGTAATTATTTTAATTAAATAAAATATAATTTAAATTTTTAATACTAAAATTAAGAGATTAAATAAAATAAATTTAATTCTTTAAATTTAGTATTTAGAAACTAAAATTATAGTTTCTTTGTTTTAAAAAAGTAAAATAAATATTTAAAAATAAAAATAAAACTAGTATTATCTTAAATTTATTAAAAGTATAATTAAATCTCCATTTTCTTATCCCATTTTATATTTTTTTTAATAAAAATCCAATATATAAAAAAGTTGAAATTTTAAAAAGTCACAGTCTTAACTTACATTAACTATTTTTTTAAATATTATGTTTTTAAATTTGCTAATAGAAAAAACGTTTCAGAATTCAAAATGTTAAATACTTTTAAATATTAAAATTGACTTCATAAAAAATTAGGAAAAAAAATATTCCAAAAGAGTTCAAAAATGTATTATAATATTTTCAGTTTTAGTTTAATTATATTTTTAATTCTCAAAGTAGAAAAATATATTGTAATTATTTTAATTTAATAAAATATAATTTAAATTTTTAATACTAAAATTAAAAGATTAAATAATAATAAATTTAATTGTTTAAATTTAGTATTTAGAAACTAAAATTATAGTTTCTCTGTTTTAAAAAATTAAAATAAATATTTAAAAATAAAAATAAAAACTAGTATTATCTTAAATTTATTAAAAGTATAATTAAATATCTATTTTCTTATGTAATTTGAGAAAATTTTTAATGAAAATCCAATATAGAAAAAAGTTGAAAATTTTAAAAAACACAACCTTAACTTATATTAACTGTTTTTTTTTAACCGACAAGAAAAACTTGGCTTTGAAAAAAAAAGTTAATAATTTTGAAGTTTTTTAAGTGATGAAGTTTCCAAATGTGATCTATGAATTTATTGAGTAAAATTGGAGGTAGGTTGAATATAAATTTAAATATATTTTAATTTATTTAAATATGGTTTATTTTTAGTATTTATAAAATAGATTAGTTTTAAATTTTTAACTTTTCTAGCCGTCTATTTTTAATCTTTGTTATTAATTATGTTAAAAATAAAAAAATATTAATTAGTATACTTAAACTAATGTATATTGATATAATTTTTTTTTGTATATCAATTATATGAAAATAACCATGGTTAAGTAATTAATAATAATAAAGCAATAAATTTAAAAATTAGATTAAAAATAAAGTTTTATAAAATAAAATTGTAATAATTTGATTACATTTTTTTAATTAATTAAATTAATGAGGAATTAAAATGTGATAATTTGATGTGTTTAATTTTTTTAATATAAATTTTTAAAATATAATTTAATTTTAATTGAAATTTTCAATTGAAAAATAAATGAAAGAATATTTATTATTAAACTTTTCTTAAACAATGTATTGAATAGTTAATATTACTCTATTCTTAATTTATTACAATTTAAATTTTTAATAAATTTGATTTATTTTTAATAATATTTTTATTTTAGTAATTTAAAATTAAAGTTAATCTTCATTTGTTAATATTGAGACCAAAGTTTATTTTTAAAGTATATTTTAAAAATTAAATTATTTTTAAAAAATAAATTACTTTTAAAAAATAAATTGTAAAAAATATACTAAAACAATTAAAGTATATTTATAAAAAATAAATTTAAATATAATAAAAAAATAATCTTCATTAGCGATCGATTTCAATTCGGTCACTATTTCAATTTGTAATTCGATCGCTAAATCGAGTCGTTAAATGATTTTTTTATTTTAGTGTGGAATAGCCATCGAAATTTTGCGACGCAAACTATTGGTCGCTATTTCGGTCGCTAACTAAAAAATGTGAAGCCAAATTATATTTCGGTCGCTAAATTGTGACCGAATTAATTCGGTCGCTAAATCGGTTGCTAATAGCGACCGAATTAAATCGGTCGCTAAATCGGTCGTTAATTGCGACCGAAAAAAAATCGGTCGCTAATTTCGGTCGCTAAATGTGTTTTTTCTTGTAGTGAACTCTTCCAAATATACAATTTATAAAAAATATCTCCAATAAACCTTAATTTTTATTTGAGCACATGAGTAATTGAAGTTTAGTACCTTCATATGGAAAGTGGTGGCATTTCATGACCATGTACTGAAATACCACCCATCAAGGGAAAGTCTTAGGCTAATTGTAGATTGTCTTTTACCAGAAAAAGATGTTTGATATTTTTAACTATGTATTGATGTATATACTTAACATAACATTATATTTAATATCACACGTAAAAGCTAAACATATTATGTTTGAGTCCTTTTACTAAAAGACTAAGTTTCCACTATATCTCTTTTGTTGTGGCAGGACCCTGAAATGAGACTGGACCAAGGAAAATAAATTGAACTTCGGATAAATGTGACCAAGAAATATTTTCTTCAGTGCATGAGCAAGCATGACAAGCAGATATTGAAGGAAAATTATGATTGAAGGAGGACAGGGGTTTTCACAATATCTTCCAGTTGCAAAAGGCCTTTGAGTTTTTAAAGTAGCATTAAGTTCAACACCTTAATAGCAATAACTTCATGTAGTATATATAGGCTTGGCATCAATCAGCCTAGTAGCGAGACTGTCCATGGTCCTACCAAAGGTTCAACAGCAAAAAAGAAAACAGCAGCACAAATACAGTATGCATAAAAACGTAATGACAACGTGTTTGAAAAAGAAATGATTTTGAGATCTTTATTCCAGTATCATATGATATCGTTACGATGAATCACTTATCTGATATATTATCTGATTTGAAGTTTTAGTATCTTATGATTTTACTATTAAAAGACGATAAGTTAGAAAAAAAAGTATTTATACAACATCGATTCCTTGGTACTTATCATGAACATGTTCTAATGAAGTTCGCTAAACATTCTCTTATATTGCTTCATATTTTAAAAACAAGATAGTTGAAGTGGAATATTCATAATTAGAACTGTTAAAATTTAGTAGAAATCGCATCATGAAGTGTTCATCCTCTGCCACCTAGTGGTAAAATTAGTAACCAAAAATGATATATACTTTGAAATTTACACCTCTCAGTCAGTTATAATATACATTAGTTCTTGGTCCATCACTTTCCTGGTCCAACACTTTGAAGCAATACAACGTCTCTAGAATCACAACAAGATCTGGATTCTGGAGGGAGTGAAAAGACTAGCAGAAAAAGGAAATGGTAAAGTCTTTTTTCTTTTGCACCATATATGTAAATAAGAGTAAACAAATACTTAAGTACTCCATTATCGTATTTTATATACAATTTAAAAAAACTGATTCAAATATCTACCTAAGAAGTCTTCAAAACATGTGTTAGATTGGAAATTATAGTCATGGAAGTTGGTTCTAAGTGGTTCAAAGTTGTTCTTCTAGAGCATAGATAAGAAATCAGACAGCAATGAACTTAAGGGTCTTTGTAGTTCCACGTAATTGGGATTCAAAACCATCCTTGAAAACCTTTTTCCCCCTCCTTTATGTGTGCCACATGTTCTCCTATTTTGTCTAATTGTCAAAAAATTACTTTCTCCTTCCCTCTTCATTGCCATAGCTGCAAAATGCATGCAATTTCAAATCAGGCACTTAAGCACAACCTGGTGGCTTTTGCAAGCCCTTGTAAATTGGTTTAACGTTGGCACATCTAGAGCTAGTAGGCTCTTTTGCAATTGTCAGGTCTATATTCTCAAGATTAATATTTTGGCAAGGGAACTTCTTGCTACACCTTAAATCCACTGCAATTGGTGAAATAGTGGTTCCCTTTATATTTGAGAATCTAATATCTTTTATCTTTACAAGTGAAGGCTGCATGGAAATAAATGAATGCTCATATTAGCATACTCCAACTTCATAATTAAAAGGGAAAAATGGAAGGGTTATTTATCATAGGTGACAACTTCAGTATAACACAAATATTGCTGGATTCAAAAGAGAGAATGATATAAACAAATAAATTAACCTTGCAGTTTGATTTGCATTGATACTCTTGGTCAATGATAATAGGGTTTCTGACATTTTCCATCATGATGTCACTGAAGGTGATATTTGATGCTGAGCCTTGGTACCTATCTGGCCATGATTTGATTCTGAGGCCATTAGTTGTGCCAATCATCGTGATGTTCTTGACACGAATGTTTTTCACTTCTAGCTCATCCTCATACTTTCCAAGACTTCCAATACTGTCATGCACATTCAGAGTATGAGCAAAAAAAGTTAAACAGCAAATTAAAATCTTAAAATCTTTATCCTTCTCTTCTGCTATCTTAAGGGTATGTACATATGTACCTTAGTACAAATCTAATTAACTGTTATTAACTTATATTCACTGTGGATCAAGATTCAAACCAATAATATTTTACCACTCAGCTACTATTAAATTTAAATTAACTCTATTATGATCGTATTGTGGACATTCTGAGTTGTTATTGTGTTATTCATCGGGAAAAATAATAACTAACATTGTCATACTCCTTAAGCGCACATAATACAAATATTCCCTTCCCAACATTCACAGTTGTTTAAAAGAGATAAATAATGCATTGATAAATATGAATTAATGGAGTAGAAAATAGAATGTTTAGTCCTTGGTGGATCAATGTAGCTAGCCTTACCTAATACCGTGTCCATGACCACAATCCATTTTGTTGACGGAAACATCGTGGGATCCGTGTATCATGGAAAGACAATCATCGCCAGTTTGAATGACATTTTTGGATACTTTTATATCGACGGATTGGCTAATATGAATTCCATCAGTGTTAGGGCTTTCATCTGGTGCACTGATCTTAAGTCGTCGAAGTCTGATGTTAACACAGTTAGTGACAAATATGTGAAAGCCTTTGGGATCTATGGATTTGATGTTCTGTATAATTCCATTCCTAACTCTGTGGAAATATATACTCTGCATTACCAAACATACAAACTTCACTTGGTGCTAAACTGTATCCACATGTTGATTAATGCTGCACTTCAACACTGAGAAGAAAAATACTCTTAACTGATACAAAAAATGCTGCACTTCAAAATCAAACTAAGAGAATACCCTCTAATGCTTTCTTTTTTATACAACTTTTTTTTTTCTTCATCAGATGAGATTGTGTAAAATATATTTTGGAATCTCAAATATTTCAAATTTTGATTTCAGTATCTAAAAAATTTAATATGGTTCTTACATTTACCAACATAAATGTTGTTTTAGTGTCGTATCTGAGATGAAAACCTGGTCTTTTTATTAAATGTATTAAATTTTCGTAGAGATTAAAACGAACATTTCACAATACTTTGACAGAAAAAGAGAGGACATATATCAGATCTGACTTTAAGAATCTAACATACCAAAATCATTGTTTTAGCCGATAGAATTAATGTTGATTCAACTAAACATGTGATTTCATTACTCACTCAGTGTATGCTATTTCCAAACTAGGGAGTTTCAACTAATATATTAGAAATTGAATTTGAAAAAGATAATCGAAGAATGGGTTGGTTACACTTCTACTCCTAGTGATCATAAGATAAAGAGATATTGACTTACAGCAGGGTTTCTGATGCAAGAGTCGGAGGGGTCTACTTTACAGTTCGAAGCTGTTTTCCATGATTCCTTACCCACGCCATCAAAAGTACCACCACCAATAACTTTTATACCATTCAGGTCCTCAAACAGGAGCCAGTCACCATTCACATACTCACTGAGATCTGTTGTAGCCGCAATTGTGCCTACAACTTGGATTGTTATGGGCTCTGGAGTCATACATGGACCTGCGAAAAACATTGAAGAAACCACAAATCTTCCCTTAGGAATCAGAAGCCTGGCTTGCTTTTTGGAGTGGCAAGTTGCTTGCCATGCATCCATGAAAGCCTGCAGGTAATCAACATCAAATAATCAAGATGTTGGTTTTTTTTATCACCTAAGGGTTTTGTTGTGTATTAGAAGTTTTGGGTTTGATTCATCGTTCTTGTGGCTTCTTATGATCACTTCCTACAGTACTTGCTTGCAACAACAACTAGTTTTAGGCAAAGAAAAAACACTAATTTTATATTAGTTTTCCAAACAAAAACTTGTTTATACGTTCAAATAAGCTTTATGTATAAATTCTTCTGAATGTTTCCTTCATCTTAAAGACAAAGCAATAGACCTTTCCAGGAAGCCATGGCCAGATTTCTATGAAAAGTGAATATTTTCATGGTTATTCTATCTAACAAATAACATGGTATGGTATACAAAAGGTAAACTATACATTTTGAATAACATTATTGATAATGTGCTGTTACTAAATTTTGATTCGAAATTGGAAATTAGTCTAACTGTGAAGTCTTCTTCCAACAAAGTTTTCTGCATGAAGTAATAAAATTAAGATTCGCACTTGGGATACTTTCTTATCAAGAAGAAAAAATAGTAAATGTTTATATACGCCACGTGTCTTCAAATTTGTTAGGGATGAAGAAAAAGAAAATGCATAAAGATTCTCGTGTTTATTCTGAGAAGACTTTGACCCAATGGTAAATTTGAAATCAAAGGATAATCATCACCATGATTCAACAAAAGATATATCTATGTATATACCTGAGTGCAGTCAAACTTGCCATTAGGTTTGGCTCCAAAGTTTATGACATTATTTATCTTTTCTCCAGGAGAAAGTACATCCTGAGCTACATTTTGGTTCTTGTAGATATCAGGACCAGGAATTGGCATTACCTTCTTAATAGCATCCACATAATAAACCAGTGCAAAGAACATAATAAGAACACCGACTCTCTTCGTCGTGGCCATTATTGCGCCACAGTTCCTTATATATATATATAATTATGAACTTCTCAATTTTCTTATATTTTTTTCAGGCCTCCGGGGGAGGCTAGGAGAAAAATGTTGTGAAAAATGACAAAAAAGATTCCTCTTTGTTTGGTCCTGAATTTGATATATAAAGTTTTTGGTAAAAACAAATGGTTATGATTGGTTTCTATTTATGAGCATCTATGTAAGCGGAGAATGTTAGCTTTTTGGGTTAAGTTGGTATAAAATTCGCGATTCTCTAATTTTAACTCTAAATTCTGCTTATTGCCCCTCCTAAATTCAATTTTAACAATCTCATTTTGTAGTACTATGAAAAAGGAAAAACAAAACTTTTGTTCCTCCATTCACAATTTTGTTGGAAAAAGAAATGCTGTCACCACAGTGCCTGAAATATGCTTTCAGTGTCTCAAACTAACAACGACTATTTTCTTACTCTACTAATTTGTTTTGTCTAATTACAAGTTTTACAGCCACCAGTTTACAAAAGTTGAGAGTGAATGCCAAATTAGTCCATGTGTAAATAATTTCAAAAACAAACCACAAACCACAAACCAAAGGCCAAACTCTTTTCCATGTTGGTTTTTAATTATAGATCACATTCTAATGACTTGAGCTTTCATTTCCATGCACATAAAATGATTTGCTTGAGTTGTGAAGGTCATCGATGTACCAAGTTGATAATGAAATTAGTATATAGAGATAGGGGAGGTAAGGTGGGCCCCTAAGTCCGTCATAAAAAAAAAATTAAGATGGACTAAGTACTTTTAATCTTGAGTCTAATTTGACTCGTCCACATAACTCAGTTTGCATGGACCAAACTAGACGGTAAATAATATCAAAAGTAATAATATATATCAAAATTGTGAATAATATCAAAAGTGAAAGTGACACTGTGATTATTAACACTATTGATTATTAATTAGGAATATATTATGACTGAAAAAGTTGATGATATAATTCTCTAATAATAGTTTAAAAGATACTTCGTGATTTGTGATTGTATCAATGAGATTAAAGCTCTGAAATTAACTAGGGTAAGAAGAAAAAAAAGGATGGATTGAAAATCAAAAGTAATGAAAGATTACGATATTTTCTGGTAAAGATTTCAAAAAGTATTTGCATACTCGTTATCCTTGCCCAGTAAAACTTTTGACTGGAAATATTAATTTCCTTCTCATTAGGTAGATTTCGTGCGTCACGGTCAGTGTTCTTTCAGATTTTGTTGCGTAAATATTTGGGTCATTCTGTTTTTGTAATGTATTATTGAAAGGATAAAAGAATATGATTATGCCATTCACTTTTCACGGTGGAATCTCTCCTTCGTGTAAATGTTAGGTTTTACTTTCCAGCTATATATTCTTATCAACAAATGTTGTAGGATGATATGATAAGTGATTCATCTCCTAACTCCAATTCCAACCATACTGTTTTTAATGGATTTCCCTTCAACATGTTCAATCATAAATTTTCATACATTTCTAAAAAAAACATTAAAACAATAAAAATCATATACGACAAACACAGTCACAGAAACTTCCAACATATCGATGGAAGGGTAATATAAAAAGTTTAAATATTAAATCAACTAAACGAGAGAATGTTCATACTCTGAACAAATTATAACAAGCTTTTGGTTTGAATCCCATGTGACGCTTTCCAAAACTCGTTTCTGCAGCACATATTATAAGAGGCAATATATAGGATTACGAGAACAAAACTTGTTGATGGATAGTAATATATTCTCTCTGTACATGAAGAAGAAACCTAGGCCATAGTAGAGCCTAAAAACTCTTGAAGCTGCAGAAGACATTCATGTTTGTCTTCGAGCTGAATGAAGCATACATAACACTATTTTACAGTACCACAAGAGTGATACAATCATATGCCAAATGATTCAAGAGCTAGCAGACATCTAAAGTCTATATATAACATATAAAAGGGACAAAAATACTGCTAAATATCTGTGAGTATCACTGCCCAACCAAACCTTTCATCTGCAGCTCCGTTCTCTTTTCTGCCATGAATCTTGAAGCAGCCTCATTGCATTTCACATCTTCCACATTCATGTGGACCACCTTTGTGGCTCCATAAGATGGAAAAAATTTGTATCGGCAGAGATTTTGAGTCGCTGGAGGGTTGCCATCGCAGAAACTCTTTTGCCTACCAAAAAAATTTTCTATCTCATACCCAATCTTGGCAAAATCAGCTTGTGGTGCCATTTCTCAACCCCACCAGGAAACGAAGGAAATTAAAGTACTCTCTATTTTTTGAGTATAAAACTTGAAGTTCAAGAGTATATATATATATATATATATATATATATATATATATATAAAGTCCATTAATATGCAACAATTTAAAGCACTGCATGCAATCACTTTCCTCCAAGAGGGATCGAATCTGTAGGATTAGTAAATTATTAGAGCATCAAAGGTGGTGGCACAACGTGGTTATAACTCTACCTCAGATTATTTGTGTGATTGATTTTTTTTAATGAGATTATTCTTTTTGGCCAGTAAGAGTTTACTTCTTGAAATAATCAGATACCAAATATATATTTCTGAAATTGAAAACAAAATTATTATTATACAGAATGAGAACCTTGCTATAGGGTGATAAAATTGCATAAATCCAAGTGAAGAATTGTCAACGTCATGGATATATGCAGTTGATCTTTTTATCATAGATGTTCCGTTCTGTCTATATCAGACTGTCCCACTTTTGAAGTTAAAATACAATATCTTTTGAATTATGTTAAAGTAAGATTTATTTCTCATTAATTAGGACTTTGGCTTAATAGAATTCTCTTCTAGAAATCAGAGTTTAATGGTTAAGTATGTGAGAAATAAAATCTTTTTATAATATGGAAACCCCTTCAAATTTTGAATTTCAACTCATTAACAAGTATTAAAAGTAATAAAATCGTGATTTTCATAATTTAAGATTTCTTTGAATTGTAATATTTCATATTTATATTTATTTATGAATAGAAAATTATTTTATACATAATAAAATTTCATAAATTATCATAATATAATTAATAGAAGTATTTAATTATTATTAATGATGTAAAAAAAAGTGATAACCTAGTCAAATTCTATCAGTTAAAATTAAATGAGAATTAAAATTAAACTATATTTTTAAAGTTTAAATTATATTAGTAAAATTATTTTTTATTTAAAATAAAATGATTTAATATATAAATTATAAGAAAATAAATCAATTCAATTTTAAAATAAAAATTAAAAACTTATTTTTTTATTATCATTATTTATTTTTTAGTAATTTATTAATTTAAAATAATAAATAGTTTTAATTATTAAATCTTGAAAAAAAATTATTATATATTGTAATATTTATTCTTAAAACAAGTAAATTTTTTATTAAATTAATTTTTAATACATATATAAATTTTTAATAAAATAATATTATTTTTATTTTAAAAATAATTATTATTATATAAAATAGATTGAATTATAAATCTATGAATTAATTTGACCAAAATTTATATAAATTATAATTTAAACTATAAAACTAAAATAAATCTAATTTAATTTAAATAAGTAACACTTATTTTTCAAATCTCAGAGTGTCCTTAATTGATAATTGTTGTGTATTGTCCTTTTTTTTGTTTTTTTTGAAGTTGAAATATAGTATCTTCTAAATTAAGTCAAGCTTATTTCCAATTTAGGTATGATTGATTTTTCTTACCAATTTAATATAAAGAGAAATTGAAGTGGTATCTTTAAATTATGCAAATTCGTTTCCGACCAAGCAAGCTAGGTTATTCTTCATGGAGCATTTAGAATGCATTTATGCTGCTCATCTTCTGTTTACATCTTCCTTTTTCACACGATGCCATTTAATGGACCTCCAGCAATACCTTCTAAAATAACTAAATGTTGATTATATCTTATCAGGTTTATGGCTTGATGGACCACAAACATTAAAAACTTAATATTTACCTCCCAAATTGATTCGAATTCCACAAGCTCACCCCAAAAAAAAAAAAAAAAAAAAAAAAATTCAACCTTTAATTCTTATTCTCTCTTTAAATTTCTCTAAGACAGATATTAATTTATTTTTTGCCAATTTTGACAAATGACTCATTGTTGTATGATCGGTAATAATTTTGTGTTTGTAATTTTTACTAGTTTTTCTTTTTTTTTTTTTAAATTAGATGAGAGAGACTGAAAAGGAATGATCTTTATTGTTTTGGGTCACTGGGTGGAATCAGTTAGAAGTTGAAGAGTAGTAGAAGACCTTCATCGGGTCTAAATTAGGAGGCACTCCATTAAAAGCATGCCCAACAAGGTGTGATGATGATGATGATGATGATTTGATATTTGTAAAATTATTCTATTCTTTGTGAAAAAGAAGCACACTTTGGGACCCGCAATATGTGAGGATAAGGTGATATTTTATGGTGTATAGTACAAGGTAAAATTAAAAGTGCATACCATCGACTCTATCCAAATTAAATTCATCAGATCAAGACGTGGACGAATGCAAAATATAATGTTTATAATATTATTAAAGTTTGTTTTTATATTTTAAATATTTTCTATAAAAATATAGGATTTTGTTTTCAAAGATATATTAATGATAATATATATATATATATATATATATATATATATATATAATTCTTGTTTTTATTTTTAAATTATATAAAATTTATGAATATATTTAATAATATTTAATATATATTATTCCGATATTTTTAAGTATATTATTCCGATATTTTTAAGAATCTTATATTATTATAAAATTAAAATAAAAAATAATTTATATATATCCTCTCACTTAATTTATTTTCTTAATCACTAAATGTCTTTTAATTTATTTTCTTAATCACTAAATGTCTTTTAAAAACAAGCAACATACCTACTTGACAAATATGTCGGAATCAGGCATGTAGAAAAATGAAAAACTATAATACTTTCTGGTAATGATTTCACAAATTTCTTTCGGTAGATTTCGTGTGTATCTGAGTTCTTTCGGATTTTGTTGCTTAAATTTAGTTCATTTTTTTTTCTAATGTATTAGAAAATAAAAAAAATAAATGATAAAGATAAATTAATACCATCATTCACCTCACTTGTCATCGTGGAATCTGTCCCTCATGCAAATGTTACTTTTTTTTCCAGCATCAACAAAAGGTGCAGGATGATATGATAAGTGATTCCAATTCCAACCACACTGCTTTTAATAGATTTACCTTCAAAATGTTCGATCACAATTTTTCATATAATAATAATAATAATAATAATAATAATAATAATAATAATAATAATAATAATAATAATAATAATAATAATAATAAAGGTTTTGGACAAACAAAGTTATAGAAACTTCTAACATGTAGATGGAAGGGTTATGATAAAAGTGTATAGGCCTTTTCTTAATTCTACTAAGTTATGATTTTGGTTATTTTAATTTTTTTTGTTTATTTTTCTTCCTTTAAAATTAAAAGTAATTACTTTTCATTTTTAGTATTATGTGTCAATAGTAATTAATGGTTTATATATTAAAAAAAACACCAATTCATAATTTTAAGTGGTGTCAACTAGAGTATGATGAAATGTTATCTGAAACATTTAGAAAAATTTGAAGATTCATAAAAATAAATGTTATTTATTTATTTTAAAATTAATTTTAAGGAAAAAAAATACTGTTTTAAAATTTTATATAGATAAAAATATTTTTTTTTATTAAAACTAAAATTATCTTATTTTATAAAGAATAAAAATAATAAAATTTTACAATATGAGTAACAAATAAAATTTTATGGGAATTGGAAAAAAAAATTAAAAATAAAAAGGAATGTTTTATATGTGAACATGAAAATATATTAATTGAAAGTGTTTTATAAGTTATTCTTCAACAAGAATAATTTTTAGGAATTTTTCTAACGAGAATTCTTTTAGGAATTTCATTCAGTCTCTTGTTCCTTTTCAATTTATCATTTGCATCTATATTTTAAAATAAATTTTGAAATTTACAAGAAATTATTTATAGTTAAAAATAATTTTGTATCACAACATAAATTATAATCATAAGTCTAAACATATTTTAAAAAAACTATTTATTTTATTATATAATATTTTTAGTTATAAATTTAAATATTTTCTGAAATCAAACAGCAAAATATCCTTTCTCCTAGATATATATAAGAATGTTTTTAAAACTAGATCTGGGAAAACATCCTTTCTCTTCGATTTATAGGAATATTTTTAAAATTAGATCAAATGATAAATACATAAATTTAATGTTTGAAAGTTGAATATCAAATTAGTTTTAATAAAATATTAATTTTATAATATAATAAATATATAATAAGTTTATTAAGAATAATATTTTTATAAATAATAAAAATTATAAATATAAAATATATTAAAAAAATATAAAATAAATAATTTTTAAAATAAAATAAAATAAAATAAAAATAAATTAATTATTATTTAAAGCTGATGTAATTAATATGAAATAAAAAAATTAAAATATTATATTTTTTATAAAAAATGGTATTAAAAAAATTTGATCTTTATTTGTTTTTTTATTAAAACAAGTTTAATTTAAAAATTCAACCGTTTTTTTTTATTTTATTTCTATTTTTCTGTTTTTATTTCAATTTAATTAAAATTTGATTATTTACAAATAATAGAGTAATTTTAAGTTTGATTTCCGATTAGACGAGGTCACCCATCGATCTGATCTAATTTTTAAATAGTATTTTATGCTATTTGAGTTATTTTTCATTATTTTTTTTAAATAAAAGTGATCATACTATTAAATAAATTAATTTTCAAAAGAAAAATACCTTAAATAACAAAAAAATACCTATTTTTTTAAAGAAAAAAATGATATACTATAAAATCATGTCAGTTTAACACTAACTAATAATAATTTATTAAAATGACAAATCCCATAATATATATATATATATATATATATATATATATATATATATATATATATATATATATATTTTGGTACCAATAAAGAAAGTAAGAACGAAATTGTAAGAAGATTAAGAAAATATTAAGATACAGGATTAAGATATGAAATATTATAATGTTTGTTGAGTATAAGGGAGGTTGGGTTCTTAGCTATGAAGGAATTGGTTGAGAGAGGTAGAAGTTTATGGCTCAAAAGAGTTGTGTCTACTACTTCTTCAACTAGCCTTTTTATAGGCAAATATCATTTTTGGCACCCTTGCATATAAAGAAGAAGTGTAAGAAACGTAATAAGAAATTGTAAGAAGATTAAGAAAATATTAAGATATAGGATTAAGATATGAAATATTACAATGTTTGCTGAGTATAAGGGAGATTGGGTTCTTACTTATGAAGGAGTTGGTTGAGAGAAGTAGAAGTCTATTGCTCAGAAGAGTTGTGTCTACTATTTCTTCAACTGACCTTTTTATAGGCAAGAATCCTCCTTATTCTAATATTACAATTGACACACTTAGTTAGTGGCAGACAAAGAAGTTTACAATTGACATGTCTTTACTTTTGGCAGCCGACACAAACGACAAAATGAAATTAATTACAACTAACACGCTTTACTTTTGACAGCTGACACAAATAACAAATCTAAAATAATTACAAGGGACACGTTTTCTTGGGGGACCTAGGCATCTTTTGGGTAAAGGACCAGATAAGTCCAACTTCTTACTTGGATGTCATCTTCAAAATTCATTTATTGATAATTCTTCTAATTTTATCATGATCTGATTAATCTTTTCCTGTAGATATTCTTTTGATTTCTTCTGTAGTGATTGCTAGAACTGGGTGAAGTCAAATTCTTCTTTTTAGTAAGGATCTTGAGCATCTTGAAGATTAATAATGACTTCACTTTCTTCTTCATCTTCATCATCCGAGCTCAAGGAAGATAATACTTCAAGCATCTTTTGTTTTAGTTGGGCTTTTTCTTCCTTAGACGACGACCTTTTAGATAAATCAATTACGAATTTACCCTTTTGCTTCGGTTGAAGGAATTATTTGTCATATTGGGGTGGATTGGGCCATAAGGCCCATTTTCATCCATGTTGAGAATTTTTCTTCGACGAATTGAGTTTCAAATTTTTTCTACCAAAAGACCTTGGTCTTCAAGCAAGGGTTTTTGGAAAGGTGTCTTCCTTGTGTTGATGGACCTCTAGGAGATGGGCCAGTAACCAACTTATTCCCATAGAGGAGCAAAATTTTATAATTCTGATATGAGGGGGGTAATTCGGAGTGAGACCTTTGTATTTTTGATAGATTTTCATGATTGGGTCGAGTATAATGGATTGGGTTGGTCCTATGTAATTGAACCATTCGACAAACCAGTTGGGTATTGGTAAAGGTATTTCTTTTTTGAAGCAGATATACCAAGAGTGTCTAGGGTTAGTATCCAGAAGGATCTTACTCAAAACTTCTTGATAATCAAATTAATTGTATGAAGGAGGGTCAAATGACCTCGAAAAACTCTTATCTGTGAAATGATGTTGATTCCAGTCTTGATAGGATAATATTATGAGTATTCTTAACTTAGAATAACTGGTAATTAAAGGGTCTTTTTCATTGAGAATGAGAGTTATTTTTATAGATTCTGTGTCTATTAGAATGAATTGGTAGAACTTTTTAGTTTTCTTTAGATTTTTTTATTTAGGAATCCAACTCCATCCTGGAGGAGCTAGTTTTTTTATTATATTCTAGGGGTCTTCAGGATTCCATTCTTCTTCTAGGATGACTAGTTTCTGACATCATTCTTTTATATGAAATTCCTTTTTCGAGATTTTTTCTTGGGTAAGGTTTTTAGGGGTTTATGGGGTTAATATGTGAATCTATTTGGTTGGATAGTTATTGAGGTGAGAAGTTTTCGGGTAGCTATTGTTTTTGAATAAGATAGGGCAAAGTCATCCAGAGAAAGTCCAGATGACTTTGGGCTTTTCAAGGTTTTAGACTGCTCAGCCGAGGCTGGGCTTTTTGATGGGGTTGCCATGATTGTGACCCTACAAAAAGTCTCGTGTTAAAAAGTCTAGTATCAATTTTTTTTTCCTTTAATAAATTCTATATTAAATTCAAAACGAGATAATAAACTTTGTCATCTTGTAAATATTTGTTTAGAAATTATATTTTTTACATTCTTTTCCAAAACTTCCTTTGCAAATTTGCAATCAATTCTTAATAAGAATTTTTTATTTATCAAATCATGTTGAAATTTTTGTATATTTAAAACTATACTTAAAACTTCCTTTTTAATGATGTTGTAATTCTTTTGAGTCTCATTCCATATTCCTGAGCGATATCTAACTATTTGTTCGAGGTTATTTTCTAATTTTTGTTTTAGTATGCCTCTGTATCCTAAATCAGAAGCGTCTGTTTCTACTATTATCTTAGCTCTTGGATGTGGTATTCCTAGGCATGGTAAAATCTTAACTAACCCTTTAACCTCTATTACTATTTTGATCATACTTGGGATCCATGATTTGGGGTTTTTTCTAAGTCTATTAAAAAGGGGTTTACACAAGATTCTTATGTGGGGTATAAAGTCTGATACATAATTTAGGCACCCTAAAAATCTTTGTAGTTGGAGTTTATCTTTTATTTTGTTAGAGAATTTTTCAGAGAATTCAATACTTCTTTTGATGGGTGTTATAGTTCCACGATTTATTTCATGCCCTAAAAATCTTATTTGTGTTTGGGCTAGTTTTATTTTCTTTTTTGATATTACCATTCTATTTTCTTTTATAAGATTTTTAAATATTCTTAAATGTTTTTATATTGTTCTATTGATTCAGAGAATATTAATACATCATCAATATAAACAATGATGAATTTAGAATAGGGATTTAATATATCGTTCATTATTTTTTGAAATTCAGAGGGTGTGTTTTCAATCTTATAGGCATTACGTTCCACTCATATTGTCCAAAAGGTACTATGAAGGTAGTTTTGTATTTATCTTGTTCTTTTAGTTTGATTTGATAATATCCGCTTTTTATATCAAATTTAGAAAATATGGTGACATTATAAATTCTACTTATTAGTTTAGTTTTATTAGGTAAGGGATACCTGATCCGTTTTAAAACCTTATTTAAGGGTTTATAGTTTATTACCATTATTGGTTCTTCTATTTCTATATACAGAGGCATTCTGCACATAAAATGCAGCACAACTCTATAGATATTTGCTAGGTCTTATAAGTTTTTTTTCTAGAAAAGATTTTATTTCTTTTCTGCAGTATTCTAATGTTTTATTTAGTTGTACAGGTCTTGCTTTTGTTCTTTTCTGAGAATCCTTCTTCGTAGGGTAATTCTATCTCAAAAATGTTTCTATTCCAAAAAACTGTTGGGACTTCGTACATACTTCTTTTTATAATTTCTTCTTTTATTTTTTTAATGGTTTTTATAATTTCAAGATTTTTCAATTGTTCTTTGATTCTTTTGTATTTAATTTCTTATTTTAGATATTTTATATGGCTTGTCTTGACTTCTATTTTTAATGGAAAATTTTCTTTGTTTACTTCAGTAACTAACTGTATTTCTTTATTTTTTATTGGTTTATTAAATTCAAATAGAATACTTTTATGTTTTATTCCATTTTTGGATGCTTCAAAAGGGCATATTAGTGTTAGGAATAGGGTCCTAAGATCATTTCTTCACTAATGTCGCAGGTTAGTATAAAAGTATTTTTAAAACATATTCCTTTATTACATATGCTGACATTTGACGATTTATATTTGTTTTTAATTTTTTGAAATTAGTAATTTTTAGAATTTATAATATTTTTTCATAATATTTTGTAGGTATTATTCCTTGTCTTATATAATTTATAATCGTTTGGGAATCTAAAAAATATGAATGGTTTGTGAAAGTTATTCTCAATTTTTAATGTAGCTTTTATATATCATTTTTGTTATAAATTTTTAGTTGATTAATCTTTTCAGCGACCAACAAGTCATTTAGAAGGGATTTATTATTTATAATAACTAATTTTTTCTTCTTGTATCTCATTTTTTTATTTTTAACCGTGTTAATTGAGTTTTAATCTCTCTTATTTCCTCTTTTAAAAAGTTTATTTCTCTTTGTAAATCGTACAGGTTTATTGGGTTGTTTTTTTTTATGACTTTTTTAATATTTTTGAAAAATTATACCCACTTACTTTTGTTGATGAGATTTTTGCTTCTTTTATATATATACTGAGTCTGTTAAGAGTCAAATTAGATTAATATGAACAAATTAACAAGCTTTTGGTGACCTTGAATCCCATGTGTCATGATTTCCAAAACTCGTTTCTGCATCACATAGTATAAGATGCAATATGTAGGATTACGATAACAAAACTCGTTGATGGATAGTAATATATTCTCTCTGTACATGAACACAGGAAGTGCCTAATAACTCTTGAAGCTGCAGAAGATACTCATGTTTGTCTTCGAGCTGAAGCATACATAAGTCTATTTTACAGTACCAGAAGAGTGATACTAGCCATCATACGCCAAATGATTCAAGAGCAAGCAGACATCTAAAGTCTATATAAAAGGGACAAAACACTGCTAAACATTTCTGAGTAGAACTATAGTATTAATAATCACTGCCCAACCAAACCTTTCATCCGCAGCTCCGTTCTGTTTTCTGCTATGAATATTGAAGCAGCTTCATTGCACTTGACATCTTCCACATGCATGTGGACCACCTTAGCCACACTAGTTGGATAAAATTTGTGTATGCAGAGATTTTGAGTCGCTGGAGGGTTGCCATTGCCATAACTCTTTTGCCTGCCAAAGAACTTCTCAATCTCATACCCAATCTTAGAAAAATCTGCTTGTGGTGCCATTTCTCAACTACACAAGGAAATGAAAGATTAAGAAAGTTCTATACCAACTAATCAAAGATGTTCTCTCTATTTTTTGAGTATAAAAATTGAAGGGCAAGGGTTTATATATACATATAGGTTCATTAATATGTATAGTGTAAAGCGCTGCATGCAACTTTTCTCCAAGAGGGACCGAATCTGCCTGTAAATTATTACAGGGAATCAAAGGTGGTGGCACAATAGTAGACGTGGTTAATCCTACATCAGATTATTTGTGATTGATTTTTTTTTCTTTTATAATGGGATTATTCTTTTCTACTTGTGAGAGTGTTAACCTCTTGAAATATGGACAGATACCGAATATATATATATATATATATATATATATATATATATATATATATATATATATTTCATAAAATTGAATAAATCCAAAGTAAGAATTGTTAGGTGATGCAAATATGCGGTTGATATTTTCATTATACTTTCTGTGAAGATCAGACTGTCCCACTTTGTGAAGTTAAAATACAACATCTTTTGAATTATGTGAGGCGAAGATTTATTTCTCATGAGTTAGAATTCTTTCCATTTGAGAAATCAGAGTTTAATACGTGTAAAAACCTTTGCAACCAATAAAAAATAATCAGAGTTCCTATTTTATTCACACACTAGTCAGAGTTTAAAAATCAATAAATTTCTTATATATAATACTTCATCATTTAATAACAATATAAAAATGACTTATGCCATCAATCCATATAACCTAACATTTCTAATAGTTGTTCTTTCAACTGACATGGGAAGGTAATTTCTTATTTTATTTTTACTACACACGAATCTCACAAAATTAAGTGTTTATGCTTAAATAATTTAAAACCCAGGTTCAATTAAAATCAACCAAAGTTACTAATTGACATGATTGATTATCGTGCATATTCTCAATATTTTATCTTCTAAATTAAGTAAGTAAATTCTCATTAGGGTTTATGTGATATTTTGAATATATAAATAAGAAGAAGATGAAAGGCAAAACTATGTGTTTAAATGATGTAAACTCCTTTCATTCTGACTAATGTTACAAGCTAACTAGTGTTCATCATGGAGCAGTGGAAATGCATATATGCTACTCATCTTATGATTCAAGGTTCCTTTTTGACATCGATGTATTGTCCCATTTTATGGACCACTACAAACATTAGAAAGTGAACATTTACCTTCTAATTTGAAAATTCTAAGCACAGGAAAAAAATAAAAATCAAGGTTTAATTCTTATTCACCTTAAAAATTTCTCTCGGATGAATATTCATGTTTTTTGGCTGATATTTTAACGTAAAAATTGTTGCTTGGTCGTTAATCACTTTATATATTTTAATTAATTTTTATATGACACGTAATTAAATTTTACTTAACTCTTTCTTTCCAAATTAAATGTTTTACTATGTAACACATAAAAATTGAGTGACATTATTATAAATATCATGATACATACATCCACCTCGAATAATGAGTAGAGCAATGTAGTCTTAATCTTTTGTTTCATTGGGTGGAATCATATAGTAGTTGATGAATAGAACCTGCATCTGGCCTCATTTCACCGACAAACCATTAGGCATACCTAGGAAGGTCGTGATCATGACGATTTGATCATATTTATTTTATTCTTGTTGAAGAAGACCCGCAAGGTGTGAGGAATATAAGGTGATATTTTGTGGTATATAGCATCACATACAAGGTAAAAATGAAAGTGCATACGCTTCAAGCTTCCAACCTTATCTAGGTTAGGACATTAATGGCATAAACGAAGGATATTCTCTAACACTTTCACTTTTTACAAATTAACAAACTTCGATGACTTTCGCTGAACTCATGCAAACTTCAATAAATTTATTCATACGTCATAACAATGAAACGAAACAGAACAGAACAAAGTCTTTCTAATAATATCTGCGAAAACATGCGTTTAAATGATTAAATTCTTATCTTTATATTAATCATGCTTAAGATTGGAAATATAATTAACAAAGTTTTGAAAATCGAATAATTTATTTTCAGGCTATGTGTATTCCAACATATTTTCGAGACCCCCTTTCTTTAATGTAATAACAAGACCTTCAATTTGAATTTCAAAGTTTTAAAATTTATTTTTTCTTAAGCAAGATTTAACGAGAGAATAAAAATGATAAAGATAAAAGAATGAGATTCAGTTCACGTTTCATCGTAGAATATGTTCCTCATGCAAATGTTACTTTTTACTTTCGAGTTATATACTTATTCCTAATAAACAAGTGGTGGAATGACACGCTAAGTGATTCCTCTAACTTCAAAATCCAACCATAATTTTACCTTGAGTATGTTGAATAGAAAATTTCATATAGTTCGTAGCACAAGTAAAAAAAATTCATATAGGATAAACAAAACAAAATAATTGAATCTTGATCGTTAAACCTAACATATCGGGAAATTAACAAAATCAAAGCCATGAAAATGAATCTTCTATATATAATAGATACAATACTTATGTTAATTTATAGTTTTTAAGTTATTATTAAAAGAATTTTTTTTACTAGTGTAAAGAATGCATTTTACAACAAATGTAATCATAATCATTCTAAAATTGATATGAGATAAACCACAGTGATAATTTTGTAAATATTAAAAATATATTATATAAGTTGTTGTAGCAATTAACATAGTGTCTCTTTTAAAAATTTTAATCTCTTTCATCACTCATTTTAACGTGTCCCAAACATTAAAACCAACAAACGAAATCAATCACTGCGATAATAAAATCTTTGTTATTGACAATAATGTGATAATAATTTTGTCATTGTCATGGACAATAATATGATAATAATTCAAATTTCTAAAAAATGTTATGAATAATAAAAATATAATATAAAGGTAAAGGTAGTAAATAATAAAAATATAATATAAAGTGTAGGGAAATCTCTAGATAAATAGATGGATTGTAAATAAATAAAAAACGTAAATTTAACTTTGTCATCAATTTAGCGACCAAAATTATTGGTCGTTATTTTTGCATTAAATTATTATTTAAATAATTGAATTAATAAATGAATGACCGATATAAATTGGTTGTTATTTTTGTCATCGATTCAGAGACCAAAATTATTGGTCGCTATTTTTGCATTAAATAATTATTTAAATAATTTAATTAGTATATTAGCGACCGATAAAAATCGATCGCTATTTTTTAAAACTTTGTCACCAATTTAGCGACCGATTTAATATATTAATTTCGATCTCTATTTTGGTATTTAAGAAATAAGTGACCAAATTATTTAGCAATCACCTTATCGGCACTATTTTGCGACCAAAATGAAAATCGGTCGCTAACACATAAGCGACTTGACCTTTTACTACGACGCATTTCGGTCACTAATTGATTAGTAACCGATTTTTTGACATTTGCGACCGAATTTTTCGGTCACTAGAACTGTTTTTTCTTGTAGTGGTTGCCCTTGCTACACCATCATTGTTTGTCACTGTTGTCATCGTGTGCCATTTCATCATTCTTTGTTGTGGGTCCTTTATTTGCTTTGTAGATGTTACTATTTCTTCTCTGGACAACTTGTGATTTTCACTACCACTGACATGCACTATCTTTCCCGACCTACGATCACCAACTAACATGGCGAGTTACTACTGGAAGTTGTCACTATCGCGAGTTATCTTAATGTTCAAATTTTGAAAAAATTCTCATATTATTTACAGAATAAAAGGTTATATTTACATAAAGAAACAAAGCTTAAAAAGGAGGTCTTCAATACAAATATTTAGCAACAAGTAAAACTATTTTAACAACAAACCACAACAACCAATAAAATTGTAGTTTAAAGAAACTGTAAAACAAAAAAATATTTGATAAAAACCTACCTCAAGTTGGCCGATGGAGATCATAAAGTCCCAACTTAGTAATAAAATTGTTAAAGGAAAAGTGATGATCTAGTGTGGTGAAGGCATATACTAGTTGAGTGGAGGAAGAAACGGGAAGTAAGTGAATTAGCCTTGTTGAATATTCTCACGAATCACTGTTAAATAGTAAAAGTTGGTGTAATTATGCTCTTAATTGTTATGTAACCACTTAAGTTATATTGATTTTAATATATTTTTCTCTCAATGTAGGATGAATTGGTAGAATACCTTGATACAAGAGCAAAGATCATAATTGTGAAGATAATTGAAGAAAAGGTGAAAGAAAGAAGAATATTTTCAACTGAAAAGTTGCTCGAGCGTCATCTATACTCGCTTGAGCGAATATACGTTAAAGCTCTCGGGAGTTCACTCGCTCAAGCGCCTTCTATTCTCACTTGAGCGAAAATACGACAAAACCCTCGGGTTTATACTCGCTCAAGCGAATATTTCTCGCTTGAGTGAAAGTTACTATTTTTTGCTCAAGCGAATAATGGGTTGCTTGAGCAAATGATGCGAGGTCAGACCCAAATTTTCCTATAAAAAGATAAGACGCGTTTTAAGATGTAATTTTAGGTTTTTGGAGAAGAGGCGCGACTACTGTTTTGTTCTTCAAGGATTCTTCAATTCTTCCTCATTTAGAGCATTGTAATGACCACCATGAGTGGCTAACTTCATTCTCTTAAGATTGAGTCCACTTCCTTGGAATTCTTTTGTATCATGGTGATATTTTGAGATATTAATCTATATTTTGATGTTGTTATTCTTATTTGTTGTACTTTGGAATGATTTATTCTTGATGTTTGGGATATGATTGAAAAATATATTTTAAAACCCTAGATCAGGTAAGAATATTTGTTACGTTAATTGTCAGGAATGGAATGAATGTATCAAGTGTTTAACACCCTAAACTAATGCTTGAAAATCTTTTAACTGTGTGAGGAATCGACATTTATCAGGTTCTTATGAATTTTACATGCGAGGAATCAAAGTGAATGATTTGAGTAAATGACATTAACATTATTATGTTAATTGATGTTCTTAATTTGACCTAGCCATTATGCAAAAGAGAAAAAAGGAAGGAAGTTAATCCTAAGTTCTTTAATTTGATCTTTTCTAAATATCGTTTATCGTTCTTTACCATTTAATTTCAATCTAAATCTTTATGAAAACCCAATTTTGTTTCAATATACTTAGTAAGCATATGATTTAAAATTTTCATTGAAACTGTTCCTCGTGAGATCAACTTTTATTTAATCGAAAGATTATACTGTGATTGATAATTTTGGCACGCTTGCCAAATATTCAACAACCACATGACAGTAAATCATATGTTCATGAAACACCAAATTATGGGCTAATTGTATAGTAATTGGTTGTCACAATATACAGTAGTGGGAGGCAATGAAACATGGAGATATTTAAGGAGATAATGCAATCATTGGATTTCATAAGTGAGAATGATCAAAGCCCTATATTCAATTTTAGATGATGAACGGGAAAAAAGTAGTTTGCTTATTTGATTTCCAAGAGATCAAGGAAGTACCAAGGAAGACAAAAAAACTAGTAATGGATTTGCGGGTGTCCAAGCACAAGGCCTAATCTAAATCAACAAAGATTTACAAATAAAGATAAAAAGAAAATAAGCCTTCAGCATGTGATTCTTTAAGGTAGCAGAAAACATGAAGAGCAGCTCCATGATGAGTATCAAATGGGTTGGACATAAATTGACTTAACTTTTGTACAGAGTAGGCAATGTATGACCTAGTAATGGTTAGATACAAAAGTCTGCTAACTAACCGCTTATAACCAACAACATGGGGAAGAGGTTGACCATGACTGGCTTAAAGTTTTACAGAAGGATCAAAAGGAGTTTTTAGCAAGTTTAAAACCAATTAAATCACTATTTTCTAAAAGTTCAAGAGCATACTTACACTGATTCATGTGAACACCAGATTTAGATCTTACAATCTTAAGACCCAAAAAATATATTATGAACCGAGGTCCTTAATACAAATTTTGGTGTCTAAGATATGTTTAACATGATTGATTTTTGCCATATCATTTCTAGTTAAAACAATATTATCGACATAAACAAGTAATGTAGTAAAAGAAGTGGAAGTGATTTTAACAAAAAGGGTTGATCTATAGAAGATTGTTTGTAATGGAGAGAAAGTGACTAATAGAGTATTATGCCACTTCTTACTAGTTTGTTTGAGTCCACAAATGGACTTATGTAACTAACAAACCTTAGAAGAACAAGGGAGTAAACTAGGGGAGGTACCATGTAAACCTCCATGTGAAATTGTCCATGAAAAAAGATATTATTAATATCTAATTGCTCTAAGTACCGTCCTTTAATAACTGTCACAACAAAAAGAATTATGATTGCATTAATAATTTTAGCAACGGGGAAGAAGATGTTAAAATAATTTACTCCTTTTGATTAAGTATAGTCCTTGTTTACCAATTATGCCTTATAACACTCAATAGTTCCATTAATATTATATTTAACTTTGAAGACCTATTTGTAACCAATAGAACTCTTACCTTTGGAAAGATCAATAAGAGACCAGGTTGGATTTTACAATAAAGCATGTAACTTAATACTTATAAGCTTTTTGCCAACAATCCATTTTAGAGACTTGGGTGGTAAGTTAGAAATATTGGAAATAGAGAGAAAAAAAATTCTATAACAATTATTATAATTTTTATAGTCAAGAACAATAGAAAGGAATGAAAAGAAGTACCTGTGGAGGAATTCATGAAACAGTTAAAGGTACCTAGAAAATTATAGTGAAAATCTGTTAAATATGAAGGCATGCGTTAATTATAGTGGATGGTAATGAAAGATTTTGTGAGTGTGATGTATGTGTGTTAGGATTTTGCTCATTGAACACAACGAAAATGGGTTCAACAGGAAAAAAAAAAAAGGAGTATAACCAAAATAGGTGAGTAATATGGAGGTGCAGGGGATATGGTTTATTGAGTAAAGAAACCTTATGCTGATTTTTAGGATGAAGATAAGAGGTTAACATAGAAAAGGGAAACAAATTTTCACAAAGAATAACATTCTTTAAAAGAAAAAATTGATGAGATTGAAGATCATACAAAACATATCCTTTGTTTTCTATATGTTACAAAAACTATTTTAAAAATTGTTTCGGGAGATTGAAGTGTACGTACTAATAAAAACAAGACAAAAAAGAAAAAAAGAAAATCTTTAAGATGAATCATGGTAGGTGGTTGTGCGTGCAACATAAAGGTGTTTTAGTTTTAATAACGGAATCGGTATCCTATTTATAATGTAAATAATTCGTTGAATGACAAAATTTCAAAAAAATTTGGGTAGGTTGGCTTGGTAAAATAAGATTTTAGTAATATTTAAAATATGTTGATATTTATATTCAATAATACTGTTAAAAAATTTCAGCACATGTTATTTGATGAATTATTTATTTTGAAGAGAAAAAATCATTAACAAAAATTCTATTTCATTATTATTTCAAAAACATTTAAGTATCAAATTGGGTTTTACTAAGAAAAATGAAATGTATTAAATGTTCTTGGTTTCAAACTTGTTTTTAACAAGTTTAATCCAAGTAAACCAAGAGTAAGAAAATATGTATAACCAATGAACCCCAAATATCACCATAAAAAATGTCCAAAGCTTTGTTAGAATGTGTTTCACTGGGTGGTTTTCTTTATTTGGAAAAGTGACAAATATCACAAGAAAAATATGCATACAATTAGGTATAAAAGGGAATTGTCTAAGGTGCCAAAGGAAAAATCTTTAGGAAGAGTGGTGTAGGATGAGCACACAAATATCATGAGCCTTATTGTGGTTATGAAAGTAAATTTATTACATATAATCATTTGTGCAATTTAGGTGAACCAATAATCCTCTTTGAAATATTCTACCTAATCAAATAGGAATCAGAATAAAAAGTTAATTGATAATGTAAGGAGTTAATCAATTTCGGAAAGAAACTAACTGACATGGCAATCTGGTAGATTAAAAAATCATATAAAATGAGTATAAACTATTTATCATACATATAAAACCATATACTTAAAATATATTATTTTATAATATTTTTATTAAACATTTAACTTATATAGAATAACTATTTATCCCACACAATTTATCCTTAAAAATATCACTTTTTATTACTTAGTTTAGAAATTTGGAAGGAAGATCTTAAGAAAACGTTTAATAAGATTTTTTTTTTATTATCACTTATTTGTTTATATTGAAAATTATATGGAAAATAATAAAATAAAAAGTTATATTTATTATCTTCTACACAATTAAAAAAACAAATACACGATATTTTTGTGATAATAACAAAATTACCAAATATTTTAAAGTGGTCTCTTCTTGCAAGCCTTTCCCCTTTATTTTACGTGATCGAAGTGACAACATGATGACTTGGTCGTGTGATGATGTTCAGACTTGATCTTGGAAAATTACAGGACATGCTCTCCAGTGTCCTGTACCCTCATGAAATCTGAGTTATTTTCTCTTTATTTTAAAATAAAAAATCAACATGTTATAAAATATTACAATTAATTTTCAATGGTAAATACGTTAATTAAACAGCAATAAAAGTGCACATTTTCTTAAGAATAAATTATTTAATTTAAATAATCTCAATTGCAAAATCATAAATTTAGTTACAGTTTCAATTTAGTTTTTATATAATCATGGTTCTTGGTTT